CACTCCTCCCCAAGCCTGTCGCGTTGCTGGGGGGTGTTTTGGCCAAAGTGCAGAACCCGGCATTTGGCCAAAATGAATCTCATACCACTGGTCCTGGCCCATCAATCCATTCTGTCCAGATCCCTCTGCAAACATGTAACAGCTGCAAACATTCCCCCTACCCGGTGCTGGAATTGTCATAGCAAGATGAGGGAATGAGCCTGCACTACACTAAAGGGAAAAAGAGCTGTAACCTCCTACACAGAAGAAAAGTTCAAGGAGAAACTGCACATCTTGGGATCCTCATGAGAATTCCCTGTCTCTGACAGAGTTAAGGAGTTATAGCTCCTCTATACAGTGGGGAAAAAAAAAATCCACCTCTACTCAGTGGGAGCTTTTCTTTGATTCATGAAATTGATTTCAAAGAGCAAAACTTCCATCTCTGCAACACACTGGATTATTCCAACCAAAAAAAAAAAAAAAAAATCAAAGGTGAAGCAAAGATTTCTCTGAGTTCCAGCAGGACCATTATTCCCATCTGACTGTTGTGTGGGTAGCTGAGTATCAGACACAGAGCAAGGAAGGGGAAGAAAAAGAGTATGATGTGATAGTCTGAGATAGTGGCAAAAGTGTAGCTGATTTCACAGTGCAGAAGCCTTTATGATGCGTCTACAGCTTGTCTCAAAAATATTCTTTAAAAAAAAGTCAGCAAAAGTTAAAGAAAAGAAAATTAGTCCAGATATGTCAAGTTATTAGGAGTCTGCTGGGGTCTTACTGTCTGATTCAAAAGTCACTGACCTCAAAATGAAACTAACCACTTATAAGGGACAAAAAAACCAACCAACCAAACAAAAAACCTGAGTATTCCACCCGTTTCTTCTTCTCAGGATCCTTAACTGCCCACAGAGGGCAAGGAGACATACCAACCTAGAGGAGAAAGTGTTACTCAACTTTCTGCTGTGTCTCATTGTACAGCCTCTAGATATCCTTCCCAAAGTGAGCTGGATGAGATTGGTGGCTGTTATCAGCTTTAACTTGGCCAAGGCTTGGAACAAGAGACTTTTGTTCCTGCTGCTCCTCCTCTCACCCTATGCTTTCTTTCCATGCCTTCCTCCTACCCCCAAAAATGTATCCACCCCCCCCCAACTCTTTTTGCATTCTCTAATAGAAAATAAACTCAGCAGACAATTCAAATCTTTTGTGGAACAGCTACTAGGAAAAGCAATTGAAATCACTGTCTCAATCTCATATTGGTGTGTATTTCCCAGATGCAAGCGTGGCTGCTAAAGCTCTGTGTGTGGTGCCTGTGTTCCTCCAGCAGTGAAGCTACAAAACAGCACCAGAAACGGAAGCTGCATTTTCTCTTGCTGCTCCCTTCTCCCACTTTTGTGTGAGCTCGTCTTGTTTAGTCTAAAAGGAAGCGGGATTGAACAACAAGAGTTACAACAACATTAGCCTTTCTCAAATAACTTTTTTTTTTCCCTGAAAAACGACAATTTCCCTGTTTTAGGCCACAGAGGGTACAATCAAACAGAGGTCTACCTCATAGAAACACTGCAGCCAAACAAATAAGGGATATTGTTAATAGGAAAGCCTTGCTCCATGTTGTACAAGTTCAAAAGACACTTCTTTTTTTTCTCTATATTTAGTAAAAGGTTAAATCAAAATCAAAATAAATCCTCTTTGCTACTACTTCAAACAGGCCACGGCCTCTGTACTCGCAAGACCTGAACCATTTTAATTATTTAATGTTGTGAAGTGGCAGGGTCATGTTAACACTTTTGACTTCTAGGTTGAATTATTTAAGTAAAAAACCTGAACCCCAACATCAGAATTTGGCCTCTATTCAGACATCCATTACTTCTGTCTTGGCAGAGGCATGTGTTATCAGAAAACATTACACAGGATTTTAAGTACAATAAATTAGCCATTCATGGAAATCAATCCTATCTGTTCATTGAAACACACATATGCACACACCACGTGCACATTGGTGGGTGAAAGGGGAACACAACCAACAGACAAATAGAGCAAGGGATGGAATAATGTGAAATAACATCATCACTCTAAGAAAGAAAGAAATTACTAATCTCCATGAATTCTTGATATAGTTTTTTGTGGCCACCAACCGCTGTCCTAATTTAGAATCATAGAATCACAGAATGGTTTGGGTTGGAAGGGACCTTAAAGATCATCCAGTTCCAACCCCCCTGCCAGCAGCAGGGACACCTTCCACTAGACCACATGGCTCAAAGCCTCATCCAGCCTGGCCTTCAACACTTCCAGGGAGGAGGCATCTACAACTTCCTTGGGCAACCTGTTCCAGTGTCTGACCACCCTCACAGTGAAGAACTTCTTCCTCATATCTCATCTAAACCTCCCCTCTTTCAGTTTAAACCCATTTCCCCTTGTTCTGTCATTAACTGCCCTTATGAAAAGTCCTTCCCCAGCTTTCTTGTAGGCCCTTCAGGTACTGGGAGGCCGCTATAAGATCTCCCCAGAGCCTTCTCTTCTCCAGGCTGAACAGCCCCAACTCTCCCACTAAAGTATCTGACAGCTCATAGCATAGTTTGGGTTGGAAGAGACCTTCAAATTTAAGAGGGCTTTCCTCTTCCTGCATTCAGGTTTAATCTGATCACTGATCTTATCCACATGATCTCTTAGCAGAGGTTATTGGAGATTGCAGAGGATAGTGCGGTGCACATGCCCAAGTTATCACCTCTCCCATCCCCTGCCCACACACAGATCACTCAGAATATTCAGTTCCTTTATTCAGCTGACAGTTCCTTCAGACAGAAATTGTTTTATTCAACAAGATCAGCCTAAAGACAACCAAAATTGTCCAAAATAAAGAGGAACAGCCTCCCATAGCTTTAAGGAAGTTGCTGCAGGGGGGTCTTTCTAAATCAAGATTTTTACTTGCCAAATTTAGACCCCAGAAGGCAACAGATCACCTTGATATGATACATTTTGGGTTTTTTTGTTTTGTAATCTTGGCTAGAGCTGATGAAACAACAAAACTCCTCTTACCTTTTGCAAACTTCATATAATGGACACGTTTCTTGGAAGATTTGGATTTTTCTTCGAGACTGAATGTCTTCTTTTGATTATTCACTGAGGACTCTAAAAAAAAAAAAGCAAACAACCAAACCCAAAACAGGTTACAACCCTATTAGAGGCTCTCTAAGCACCAAATTCAAACATCAGTGTATTTAACTTTCTCTCTCAAAACCAAGTCTCAACAACATATCACAATATATCACCATGAAGGAAGCATGGTAAGTTTTGTCCAACATGTTACTGCTTGATTTTTGGTTTTTGCTTTCTGTTCCTGTTTCCAATCTAATGTAATTTGAAAAGGCAGATACAGGTACTCCAGGTCAAAGGCAAAGTCTAATTTAACAGCATTTCTATGGTAAAGAAAGAATAATAGGTCAGGGTTTATTGTGCTGTTTGTTACAAAATATCTCTAGTGCCAGAGTTTGAGAAAGGTGTAAGAAATAGCACAAAATAAAATACTGAACCTGACTGGGTAAAAAGAAAAAGGCAAAAAATAAATATCACAGACAGGCTTTCTACTTCCAATACTACATGAAATATCTCTATCTGGACATAGTCTGATACATCTGTGTAAGGAAATTAAACGGTGGCAGAGCTTTTCAGTCCCTGAGGCCAGCTAGAACAAATTGCCACATCCAGATTATTTAATTTTCCTAGCTTCCAGAAGAGGGTCTGCATTTAAACTGTCTGCTGGGAATGGTCTCTGGGGTTGGCTAAATCCCAAATTCACTCAGGATTTGCTTGGGAGAATGTTAGCTTGTGCAGGTCAAAAATGAAGCGAAGGATCTAACTATTTAACATTGGAGATACCAAGTTCCTGTGCTGTGGTAGTTTATTTTACTGGTCCAGAAATACTCTTTGCATCCACAGAGTCTCTTAATTTACAAGAAATTCTTAGAAGAGGTAACCTGCTGTCCAATTAACAACTACTTTATTAGTCCTACGCTGAAAATAGGCACCACAGGATTCTTCACTCTCTAACTCTAGAAAAGGTTATTCCATCTGGTGAGAGTTTTTTTCCTTCCAGTGGGATGGGTACGGAAATCAACCCATACCCTGAGGGCAAAGTTGAGTCACCTTTTTTATATGATCCCACCCTTGAAAGCTCTGCAGACCAAGCTTGTCTGACATTTCAATTACAGCACTTCACTGTTTGATAGGTAGTGACACCTGATGATAGTGTCATTGGCCTAAAAATGAAATCCACAGCCTGCAGTGGGAGAGCTGACCACCAGAAAGCACTCTGAGATCTACTCCTCCACTTACACACTAAATCTTAATGAGAAGAGGAAGGACTAACAAACCCAGTTTTAGACAGTTTGTGGTCAACTTCAAAATCCTCAATAAAAAGTCTTTATGGGGAAAAAGAAGCATCACAACTAAAATATCTTGACAAGAGATGAGGCACTTTTGAGTCTGCTCTCCAATCCACTTGTACCTAAGAGAACATTACACAGCAAACGACTTCCACAGAGCTTCTTCCACTTTATTCTTACAGCAAAAGGGGCAGCAGCACCGCCTTGTGCCTTCAAGGAGGAATTTCACACTACTGAAACGGGCTGGCATTTGGCAATAGACAGGTAGGTACATCCCTGTGTCTTCTAGGGAGTGGTAAATCCTCTGACAAACTCAGTAAGCACTGCAGGAATATTAATGTGCTTTTAAAAGCAATTTAGTCATAGGAATAAAGCCATGTGTCATTTCTATAGCAAAACTTGATACAGATGAATATTCCAAAACACATTACAGACACAGCCAGCATGTTGTTGCCCCATTTTATGAACAGGAAAGGGACAAAAGTCACCATCACTTAGTACCCCAGCAAAAGAGCCAGGAATCAAAACTCCTCACTATGTGCTCAGCTAGAAAAAAGAAAGAAAAGCAAGATAAAACTATGTACATCAAGGGTATTTGAATGTTGGCATATTAACCACCACGGAGCCCTTCCTTCCCAATCTCTAATTGCAATCCAACTCTGGCAACTACAGCAATTATTTAAGAACAATGAAGTTTTTCAGCTGACTTTTAATGCAATTTGAAACTGGATAACGGCCAATAAATGTAACATTTGATCCTGCAGCACAGCTGCAGGCAGAGTAATCTGGATGAGTTTTGCCAGCTTAAATAACTGCCTAAAACCCAAGTTTCAGAGCAATGTTTGCAGTCTGGAAATTGCCAAACAGGACTGGGAGCAAGAATTTCCAACATGCACCCAAATTTGTCCTCAGCGTTTTTCAAAGTTTGAAAACTCTTATCCCAGCTCTGAAGATGATCAAGGAAAAATAACTGAGTAAAACAGAGAAATATGGTTTTCAGGGGCCACTTTGCATCAGTACAGATGATCCAGGGAATACTACACAGATTTAGGAACAAGACAGCCTTGCTCAATGAACCTACCTCTGTGCTGACTCATCGTGTCCTTGGGCAAGTCATTTCAGCTCTCTGCTCATCAGCTTGCAGGTTTCCCACCAGTTACACCTAACTGAATCTTCCCATGGCTCAAGTTGGAACTTGGGCAGGATTTAGTTATAAAGGCAGAAAGGAACTTTTCCCTACAGTATGCTATTCTACCTCTTGAGGACTTTAACTACAGCACACCTAGCACTGCGTGGCCTCAGACCACGATTAGGGCTCCAATGCACAGGGATAAGTTACACAGCAATTTGAAAAATGTTTTTAGAGCATCAAATTCAGAATTTTAAGCCTGATTCTCTAGGATTATAAACTAAGTTTGAGCCTTCTTGCTAACTGATATTCCTCCTTTTCTTTCTGCCTTTCCTCTCCTAGAAAACCTTCTGTGTTCAAAGGTTAAGAGTGAATGAATGAACAGTTGCTAAATTCACTAGGCTGGCAATTCTCTTGCTAGCAGCACATGGACAGGCTGCTGTGTCCAAACAGAAGCCCTTAGTTTAACAACACTCCACAGAGATTTGTTTAGATATATGATCAGAGTTAAAGCTTGAGAGACAATATCAGCCTAACTAAAGGAGAAATAATAAACCATTTGAAGTGTGCAACTCTCTCTGTAAACTCACATCTACCAGTTTAGCATAACTTCATTTTTACAAAGCACAGTCAAATAAAATTAAAAGATTTTATAAATAGCCCTTTTGAGAAAGTTGTGTAGTTTCTACACTTGTGTGCTCTACATCAGGGTTACACAAATCATATCATACCACACTCAAAACAGAGATGCATAACTCAGAGTCAAAAGCTAAGAAGCAGCTCTCTGAGGACAGGAAAAGTAGGTATTTAAGAAACCAGCAGAGCATGGAAGGCAGGTGTGACAGTTCATTAGTAAGAGGAAGGTGAACGCATTGCAATGGTGAATGATTGTGTTGTGAACCTTTATATTGGCTCTGGTTGCTTTAAAAAGAAACAAGTTCTGCTGTAGCACATCCTACAGGTCCCTCATGTTGTGATCCTGGATAAAATAAACAAGTTCAAAATCTTATGTTGGTTTTCCCCCACAAAAAAAAAACTTTTAATAGAGGCCTGACTGAGAGCAAAACTAATCCACCGAGACCTACACATCCAGGTAGACAAACCTGAGCGTGGCCATGGATGGAAACATGTCCTCCAGCTCCCACTGATTTGGGGGGAGTAGGGGAAGAAGGGGGAGTTGTGAACCTCAGCAAGGAGACTATTAGCAGCCCAAAGGATTGGGCCTCAGCTAACCATTTAAAAGAAAGAATGGAAACTCTTCTAAGCTTCCAGCATCTGATTGAGCAAAGCATGAACCTACCTGTTTCACCCTGTCCATGGCAATCATTCAGTTCAGCCAGAAGCTGGTTGAAGTCATCCTGATGAGCAATCCAGTTGTCCTGTAAATATCACCCACATGAATACAAGGCAGAAGACTTCAGAACAGAAGTTTTGCTAAAACAAGTATTAAGACATTGCAATCTAAGAACTAACTTAATTGTACATACACAGTCCTTGTTGGTGGGAGGAACCATCAGAAGCTCCACAGGTGGCAATACTAACAACAGCTTGCTACAGTCACTCCAAAGTGCAGAACTGATATGGGTTGTGTTTGTAAATCCTTAAACAATACTGAACTGCTGTTGGCTCTGTGTGTCCCTCATCTGCACAAGTTTTCAAAAGTAAGCAGGAAATACTAGTGTGATTTTTTTTCCAGCAACAAAGTTACTTAAGATGTTGATTATGTGAGAAGCACCTTTAGGACCATGTTCTGCTCTGCCTACGTACCCGAACTCCAGTCAGAAAGATAACTATATTGGGAAGAAGGACAGAAGGCATGAAGCTAAGCAGGGCAGAAAACACAGGGAGAAAGCAAATATTTTAGTGATTTCCTTGAAAGTAAAAAAATCTCTGAACAGCCTCCTCCCAGAATTCACTGTAAACTTTCCAAGCAGGTACTTGCACCTTAAACACACAGCAAAGCAGAACTAAATCCAGGTCAACAGTTCCTGCAGAGACATTCCCATAGATACATGTTGCCACCAGATGGGACAACAGATTTAGCTAATGTCCCATTACAAAGATTGTTCTTTAGCTGAAATGGGAATAATTTCCTTACCTGGGTCTATTGCTCACCTCATGATTGATGGTTGCTCCTAACCCCAGCATATTGTTTTTCACCTGCACCTTGATATGTTCTGTATTTCCTTGTTCCTGAGCCCCAAGACCCTAAGGAGGATTTAAGGGTAAAAATATAAGGATTTTTACAACAGTGACTAAGCAATTAGAGCTCTGGTACTGTAAGATAGTTTGCAATGAAATACAGCAAGAAATCCCAACTTACTATTTATTTGCTTGCCTGTAGCTGAATTCATTCACAGGCATTAGCACACATGAGATATTAAGTTTTTTTTTTAATTTACTACTTAAGCCTCCAGCAAAGTATTATAAACACTAAAATAGCAACAACATTAAATAGTTGGATGATTAATCAGGAAGCCACCTGACATTCCCAGGCAAGTTTAAAGTGTTTACAATTTTAAAACAAGACACTACATAAAAAGAACATGCCTCTCACCAAAAATACCTCCATCATTGGGAAAGCAGCTGTGTAACGGCTCTAAGACAGATGCCACATAAAACATACAACACAACAAAGTTATATGGGAGGGGAAGGGTCAGACTGGAGCTAGCAGGGTGGTAAGAACTTTGTCCATAGAATCATAGAATGGTTTGGATTGGAAGGGACCTTAAAGATCATCATCCATCTCATTCGCACTAATAAGCTGATGAAGATATTGCAGCAAACAAATGTCAGGTTTGTCTAGCCTAAAAAAAACAATCATTCAAATCTGGGAAGCGATCTTTAGGCCTAGGATTACCTTTCTTAATTAGAATCATAGAATGGTTAGGATTGGAA